CTTTTTATCAAGTTGTATATATTTTAAAATCTTAGGTATTAAAATTACATTTTTAAGAATTTTTTGCTATTTATTTTTTTTTAATTATTTGCACTAAGTATCGTGATTTTGACAAACTTTGCCAAGATTTTCATTCAAATGCTTAAAAAAAGTTGTGCCTAAATGTATTTTAAATATTTTTAAATTTCTATAAGAATCACTATAAAAAAAAACACTGAATTACGTTTTCAAGCTGCTTTATGAACAAGAAAATCATGTACACCAGTGTACAACATCAAAAAATTAGCAAATAATAATAATGATTCACGATTGCACATCATACATAACTTAAAGTAGATTTAGATAATTAAGTAGAAGTTCTTACAGTGAATTTGCTCAAATTTAAGAATTGATAAGTACGTATAGGATCCTTTTATTTTTTTTTTTAAATGCAAATAGGTACATTTAATCGTTTAAATTTATTTACCAACTTAATTATAACTAACTGCAGATTTTCCATTAAAACTTAAGTGTTCACGATTTAATATGTTGTAAAAAATAATTCAAAATACGATTAATATAAAATACATTCCAAAAATAATGAAACATTTTAAAATGGAAAGGAACTCCGTAAATTAAAAAAATTAGTATTCAACCGAAGTTTGAGCTATTTTTATCTCAATTCCATTAATAACACCGTAATTAGGAYAAGTTATGAATTTATAGTATAGACACCATATATATAATTAAGATATTTATTATATAATATGTGCTATGCAGATTTTATTTAGAAGATTTATTCAATTTCTTCGTAAGAATACAACAGAATCGAAATACAAATTTACAATATACTTATCCAAACAAATCTCTAGTCAAGTTCCCATAAGTTCCTATTAAGTACAAAGTGTAATAGCAACATAGGCGTAGAATTATCTAATATATTTGGAGAGGGGGGCTGGAAAAACAATTAATAATTCAACATTCAACTCTCGTAATCACTCTTTATTCATATCGACTGCCACCGCCAGAATTACAATTACTATAGCCCTTTAAATCGTATGTGTATATTCTGTAATAAATTTACAAATTTTGATTTTTTCATGATCCACCAGGTTTACTATAAGTATTCTTTATCAACTATATAATGTAATTTATTGTACATGTTATTTACTGTAACTTTTGCTCATCTTGGGCGTAATAAATAAATAAATAAATAAATAATAATAAAAAAAACACTATAAGCTAAATGAAAATAAAGACATTTATTTTTTTCCTACTATAATTCCAAACGTCTTTTAGTTTTTGAGAAGATATTTAATATATCATTTGAATCAATATTATTTGAAATATCTCTTTCAATATTAATTAAAGTATTGCTAGTCTTGAGTCATAGTTAACCTATCCCCGCAAATAACCTCTCACATGATGCCGAAGAAATCGGCCAGGTAAGAGCTAAATTAAAAAATTTATATAGGTACATTAGGAAAAGTTGAAATTGTTCTATGTTTTTTGAATAAATTTATTTGATTTTTTTGTTCGGGTTCATTATTATATTTTTGAATAGTTTTTGGCAACCATCATTTCAGTTTGAAGTTATAAATTAAAACAAATAATTCTGGTGGGAGAGCCAAACTCCCAAGTCCAGTGGCGCCGAAGTGTTTTAAATATATGATGACATCGTATATTAAGAGGTCCCCATCATCCCCTCTATTTTCATAATTTAACCATCAGATGTAAATCAAAGCGTCTACAAATAAGTAATGTAACGTTTGACCGTATATTTTTATGTGTAAACGTATATTCTGTATGCAGTACACGGCAGTATCTCATGGTGGACCCCCCATCTGAAAAATCTACTATKAGTCTATGACATATGTCATACATAAATTGGGTAATCTGCGCTACTGCCCAACTCCCCCATAGATATGCCTGAGAATAGTAAGGATGAAAACATATGATATTTTGTAGTTTCGCCTCACTCACCAGTCATCACCATAAAAAAATAGATATGTCTACTGACATAGTATAACTACCCTAAGGGTATAATTTATAAGAATTTTAAAAGGTATCCCAAAACTGTCAACACTTCCCTCGAAATAAAAACCCAATCTAAAACTAGCTCCTATTAATTTTTCAAAAAACGACCATTTACATTTTTTCCGCATTCACCTTTGAATAACGCGTAAGTTAATACTAAAAAATACAAACAATAACGTGTAAAAAATATTATTCTTCTTTACTTAAATAATTATTATAACAAACGAAAATAATAAATAAAAAACTAATATTCACTATTTAAAAAAAAAGTTATTCACAATAACATAAATATATTGACTCAAAATGTATAATAGCTAAGATTGTATGTACAATTATTCAGTACATCGAAAAACAGATACCTACCTACATAGTTTTCACACTAAAAAAATAAACATGACAATAACATTTAAAGTTTGTACAAAAATGTAGTACGAAACATAGTATAATTAATTTAAAAAATCGAGATATTTAAATGAAAAGTTTGATTGGCCTACCTTAAAGTTTATAATTAAAATAAATATCAAAACTCCCACAAATTACCTATGGCAAACCTGAATTGCGTATAAATTATTCCAAAAACATAAGATGTTTTTATTACTACCCACGACGAAGCAACATAACAGTACCATAATTTTGACTTTCGATTTAAATTTTAATTAGATCTACACAATTTTCAAATTTTCTAGTGTTCCACTATAGGCCAGTTGAAAGTTTTTAAAAGGACTTAAATTTATTTTACAATRCAGCAGTTAGCACAAGGAAATCGAAAAAGCTTACAGAAATAAAATAAAATTAATAAAATTATTTTTTTTTATACATCTATTTACCATATGAAGTCCTTGCAATGGCTACAGAAAGTCGGTTGCTTAAAGAATCTTGGTATAAATTTGTGATCTTTGACGTTATAGACGTTCTTCTTTTTCAAAGCTCCTTTGCGCCCACGCAATCGCAGCCCAAATTTGGTATTCATATCACCAGCATTGTCCTCCATGCTTCCGTAGTCGTCAGCCATGATTTTACCACAACTATACTTACGGACTATTATTTAAAAACGGCGATAATCGTTAGAATATTAATAAAACGAAATATTTAAATAAAATATTATGATGTCGAACGATCAGTGCGCTGCAGTACAACTGATAAGAAAGTGAAAGAGTGAACGGGACACACACACAAGCCTCGACGCATAGTAGTGACTGGCGACTGGCAAGTGGCGAGCACCGACAAAAATACAAGCGACTGCCCGCGGCACAGAGCGTCAGAGCTTGCTGTAGAAAAATATTTTGATGGGCGCGCTATCATCCAGACTTCACCAAGGTCGCCAACCTAACCACATCAGTGTGACACGTATAACTTTTCAATTTTGTCCTAATGCATATAATTATTGTAAGCAACATAATCGCAGTCACTGTGGTAGAGCCGGGATCACAGAGTAATATACCTATATATAACATATAACAATATAATATATAACAGTTCACTGTTCACTGGCCACTGGTTGTTCACTCTTCAGTCTTCACTACTCACTGATCAGTAATTGGCGGAATCGGCAGGATCTAAGATCTTGGTCATGTTAGATAACGCCGTGTAAGATAAAAAAAAAATGTATGAATTATCACTCGATCAAATATCATCTATATTCAAATCACTTGAAAATATTATATCATTAGTAATTAATATTTAATATTCAAACTAAGAAAGACAAGTTCCAAATTCCAATTCATTATAAATTATTTTATTAGTTAATGTCAAATTTGAAGTTATTGACATTTTAATAAACCTTCTACGTAATTACCGAATACTTATATTCATTTAATAGAAAAAAAATGTCTATGCCTGTATTTCCATCAAATACACCTCAAGTTCCTCAAGCCATGCAACAAGTACAACAGCAACAACAGCAGCAGCAACAACAACAACAACAACAACAACAACAACAACAGCAGCAGCAACAGCAGCAGCAACAGCAACAGCAACAAGAAAAATTAGACAATATATCTAAAGTGAAAACTCAAGTGATTCAACTTAAAGAATCATTAAGTTGTGTACTTCGTGCAGCTTCATATACTCTGCAACAAAATCATTACATTGACACAGGATTATTAAAAACTGTAGAAATACCCGGCCCTCGATTTGAAAAAACGATTGAAGAATTTTTTTCGATTTGTGATCAAATAGAGTATAACCTGAAGACTGCTATCGAGTGTCAACAACAAGGTATATTTTTAAATTTTATTAGTTCACTTCTAATTATTAGTCAGTTAATTTTACTCAAGGTTTCAAGAAAAATTAAATTAGAATATTTATTTTTGATAGGTACCTACCTAGTTTTTCTTCATAATAGGTCATTTTTTAATATAATTTGCACATACAAAAAAACACAATCTATTGACTTGTGACAAAAATGTACAGCATAAAAATGTTTCATTTTTAATAAATGTGTCACCTTTCTAAAATTTCATCTGGATCTACTTTTGCTATATTTACTCTTAATAGTTACAATCGTGTACATCTTCTCAAAATAGATTTTTTATTTATTTATTAATCACTCTCAAAAATGCTAAAGCTCTCTTCCAAACTTTATCATGTACTTCAAACTTATAATTAGACCTATACCTGAATTTAGTTACTTTATCATACATTCAAACATATAACATTACAATATTATCCAAACCTAAGAAATATCCATAATATTGGGTTTAAGAATTTTAGACATTTCTTATTTCTAATAACTAATGAAGGTAAACATGGTTTTGTTGTATCATCAAGTTATTTCTACCTACTCAAATATTAATCCATATAATCATTGATTATATTATATACTATAATCAATAATCATATTACTAGGTAATAAATTTATGAAAATTTGATTTAAAAAAATGTGAATGTATGTCTTTATTTTTGAAAATTCAGGTATACAAATGAACAAGGAATCATTATTTTTGACTGTATATAATATTTCCTTATTTGTTTTAAAAATAAAAATTAATTTGTTAGTTTCCTGAGGTATTAGTAACCTTTTAAAAGTTTTAAATAAATGATAATTGACCTAACTGCGTACCACAACAAAATATGAAATACTCYATCAAAAATGTATCAATGTATTTACTATCTAATAATATTATAGTAAATATAAAGATAATAAATATTTAAAAATAACTATTACTAATAATTTTCTTTGGCCGATTGCGGCCAAAATTCTTAAAGAATTGTAAAGCCAAGAAGAAGAACTTTCTATCATTTATTTTAAAATCTTTCTAAGCTGATCCTTAAGGTTAGAACATACAAGTATTTCCATTAATTTATTAATAATTATAATATGTTTGAAGACATTTTTTTTTTTTGATAGAGCTTAAATTATTTTAGCGATATTTTCTCTACTCCACAATTCCGATTGTAAACAAATATTTACTATTTTATGGATATCTTTTTAATAAAAAAAAAAATCACTAAAAGCAATTGGTATAGAAGTATATATATTATTTATTTTCTACTATAAAATAAATAAATAAATGTATTAATAACAATTTTACAAAAATGTTTTATATCAATACCTAATTATGTTAATTACAATATTGAGTGATTTGAAGTTTACTCCACATTTCCTCTCCCCTATTTGACTAATAACAATTAATATCAAAGTAATATAATTCATTAATTTATATCTATAATACATTAGTTATTTAATATTTATCACCGAGTTATCAGTTTACTTTAAGAATGTATTTATTTATATGAAAATATTAGGTATTATTAGGTATAATTACTAATATAGTTATTACTTGAAATAATATTGYGATGCATATATTTTAATGTTTAGGTCTAAGCAGTCAACGTTATATACCACTAATGGTATATCCTACAAGAACGGAACCATTACCAGCTCAGGAGTTAAGTTCGCTCACATACCCTCAGTATTTAAGCACAGTTCGATCACAAATTTCTTATTTAAAAGAAGTTCAAGAATTACTGTTGTCTACAACTCAGAATAATTCTAATGAATAATAAAGAAAAAATGTATATTTAGACAGCATAATGTTATAATATTTATGTATAATAAATTATATAAGAATTTTTAATAATAATAAAATAACTAATAAAGTGTTCAAAAAAAAAATAAAAAAAAATTCTTAATGTTCAAACAATTTCATAATTTCCTGTGTATAATGATGTCTCAGATGTAAATTTAACAGGTGTACTATCATCAACAAGTCTAATTTCCATTGGCTTAATTTTATTGTAAGATGATTTTGACATAAAATCAACCTTGATTGGGAAGAAATCGGAGGCGATCGATTTGGGTGCTTCAAATTCAATAGATCCTGTAGGGTTGGACGAATCAACTACAGCCACTGACCATATTAAAACATTCTTTTTAGGTTCATAACTATAAACTCCACTGCACTCTTGAATAACTGGAGCATTACCAAATGGCAACGGGACTGTGACAGTAACATTATTCAGCTCGAGATCAGCATGTTCCAAATTATATTCAATATTTACATCACAACCACCATAACCATTTTCACTAGGCCAGCAATTAATTGAAAGCGGAATAGCTGATTCTTCTTGAGACTGAAGAGTCCATTTTAATAGCCCTACTTCAGAATCTAATGGAAATGGTTTTGTTGGATTTTTCAAACCTATTAATCGGTTAGTCTTGAAAAGTTCCTTATCAATATTAGGATGTGTCTGCAATGGAATGTTTCCAGATTCAAAATTGAACTGCAAAACAATTTTTTGATACATTTCATTTGAAATTCTTAACGAAATCAATCCATGTAATTCAAAATTGCGGACACCTCCATCACGACCAACAATGGCAATTAAACGTTCTTCTTTTTTAATATGAATATCTTTTTGAACAGTTGAAGAAGTTGATGAAATAGTTGATGTCTTGTTGTTACTAACAACTTTTTCACCTTCAGATTTCAATTGATCAACAAACAAATCAACATCTTTAGATTTTGCTCCTAATTTTAAAGCTTTATTGCTAGATGTGTATTTTGGTGTTTCTGGCTTGGAGACTTTTATCTCATAAATTGAATCTGCAACTGGTGTCATTGACATGTAAGAGCTTGATGATTGTGGCATACGTACACCCTTTTTGACAGCATCAATTCTTTGACGTTGTAATTCTTTTGCTTTTTCGCGCATTTTAACCTTAGCATCACGCTCTTGTGATTGRCGTACTGCTTGATACATTTTTTCTTCGTGAGAATCCATTTCTACAAATGTCCTTACTTGTGCTAAATTAACACTTTCCCTATATCCAAGAGCTACAATTTCATCAAAAGCAAATATTAAATCAAAAGATTTTTTTGATACTTCACTCTCGTCAACTAACCTAGAATAAGAAACCGAACATATTATTGTTGGCAAAAATTACAAAACTTGAATTATTTAACTGATTTAGATTACTTACTTGCAACAGTCCAGAACTACTTTTGAAAACAATCTTAATGTTTCCAAATCTTCTAATATATTACTGGTCTTTGTAGTGATCAGCAACATGTAGAGTTTTTCCAATGGTTGGTATACATATCGTACTGAATCCGTCTCAACAAATGTATGTTGAATATGACGTTTTTCTGTCGACATTAGCTTGGGAAAAGCCGCCAGTAGTCCTTCAATCCGCGCTTTGGTCATTTCAACAAACTGTCGAGAGACTATGGTTTTTCCCGTTTTTGTGCAGACGGCTGAAGCCAGCAGCACCATTTTGGCAGTGAATTGTTCAAGCTAAACAATAAATATAGACATTAGGACATTACTTTTTCGGTATGTCATGCCAAGTATTCCGCACCTTGTAAATGTACTCTCAATCGGCAATTAAGTTCGTACGGTATAAATTGAAAACTCTTAACGAATTACAATTGAATTTATGAAAATATGAACTAACAAAATGTGTATGTGTACACACTACAACAATTTCTCGATGGCAATCATCTATCATTATACCCGTGGTACAAATAACTGGGTATACTCAATACTGATACTACAAAAGTACAAAGTTGCAAAAAACTGCATATCATGGAATAAAAAATATTTACTCTACGTGTATTCGACTCATAATGACGTTGTTCGGTGATTCGATACTTGTGAGATAAACGTTTATAACTACAGTGATACGAACTCTAACAAATAATGAAGAGACAAGTATGACGTCATGGACCAAACCCTGTTACTATTTTACTAACATACCACAAACCTACCTATACTATTTTCTCCAGAATTCATACCTTTCTGCTTATCGCAATTCAAATTATCTATTTGACATGTGGCATGGTATTCGGGTTACGGTTGGTTAGTTACAACCATAATTTCATAAATATTTTACTAATTTAGTCATAAAAATAATAATAATAAATTATTTTCTACTTAATAAAAAAGTAAGCAACAAAATTTGAAAATTTCATAAGCACGATGACAACAGTAAAGAGGTGACTGGTACGAATATCACGGGTTGCCAAATCTTAGCATGAAAAAAATTCAATCGCCCACCACCCTCCCTAAAATGAACTAAAGAAAAAATTAATTTTGGAATCAAATGTAGTTTAGCATCTCCTCGAAATTTTGGATCTTCTTTCGGAAAACTACTTAATTCAACATTTAAAAATTATGTTTTAAAATTTATGTCAAAAATTTGATTCGGAAATTATTAGTTTTTGAGTATGTATACCTATAATAGTATAATATGTAGAAAACTGTAAATAAGATATCGTATTTTGGAAAAAAAACAAATTACTGGTTTTTTTTCAGAAACCTATGTATTTCATATATTTGGTATTTCAACCTAAAAAGTAGGTCACGGGATGAAATCAAGTATATTTTATACGGAGATACCTATCGGACATATTAGATACATAATCTCAATAATAGTATAATGCATTATCTTTATGACTTTATATACCTATAKATTTATTATACACTTTGTTACATATCTATCGACTTACATTTACATCATATACATACGTAGCTATAGTGTTCTATAATCTCAATCATTGTTTATTGCTTTTGAATATTGGACACCAACTTGCTTGCCAGTAATACTCGATAGGTATATCTATCAACGTATGACGTATAATATGATTAAAATTATTAAATCATTAAATTTAAAAAAATACTCGTAGATAAAAATTAACAAAAAAGCGGATAAGTCGTGGATGTCGCTCTGCTGTACAGTAGGTTACTGTAATGGATGGAATTAAATTTGAATGCAATGATAGGTATCATTGTATA